TCAAAAAAATATCTACTGTCACTAGATTCTACTTTGAGATACACACAGTTAGTAAAATTCAAGGCTTAGCATAACATCTTCAATTTTTTAGTCATTTAAATGACCTCAACAAACATTTATTTGTGTTAAAGTCCTATTAGTGAGAACAAGCATCTTTTATTCCTACCAATAAAGACTCCGATATTTATTGGTCTGATACTGAATGAAAAGGTAGTCTTTTAACTGCTGCATTTTGAATGGTCGGATGCATATCGTGTGGATATATTGTTGACTGAATCATATGATATTGTGTTGCTGAAGTAATTCGGTCATTTACATCCATTCACCTCAGTTTTTCATGTCAGTATCCATAACAAGATGGCTAGTAAGCAAATGATGTATCTATAAGAAAACTGCTCATGTGTTTCTAATTTACGAACTAATTTTCAAGTGTACTTAATGAATTGATTTATTATATAGTCGTCACCATCACTTATTAGAAATCACCTAATAAAATATGACATCAACTATTCATACTGTATCACGGCTTCCTGCCATAAATTAATCAGATACAATTTATTTTCACATAAGTGAAACAAATGCTTAACTTTGTTTTTGTAAATAAACAGAAAGTTGTACACAAGAATGAAGTGATTATCATAAATGTATTTTAAAAATTTTCTTTGATAAGCATGTATTTCTATTTTTGTCTGAATTAACATGTAGTGAACTTAACAAAGTTTATTTTTTATGTTGTGTATTACACAGCTTTATGTAATGTATGTGATTATGCCCTCAAATGCCCTGGTACGGCCGAGAGTGGGAAGAGTCAGCTCTCTCCCTTGAAATGCTCTCACACGGTCACGCGTATACAGCCATTATCAGGGGAGTCCTACTCACTGACGTCTCGCAGCGAGGGTGGTGGTTTACAAAAAGCGAATGTCCGTCGCTTTAAGCAACTCGGTGGACACGGAGGGTTCACCAAGGGGAGTTCGAAAACCCTAATCTAAAACCAATAGTGCACATGGGCTCCAGTATCCTGAAGAAACAAATGACGTACGAACCAATTGTTGGTCACCGGCCACCATGAGAATGCATCTCCTTACGTTGGTCAACTGCCTTGTGAATCAGACCTTTAGATAAAATGCCCCGAGTGTGGCTCTCTAAGAAAACCACCTGCTTCGGTCTGGGAACCCGTTCAGTATCCCAGCCCACATACAAATCAGGTGACTTGTATGGCGTATATGTATTCGGGGCCCCTTTGTACCAATATTTTCGTGTACAAATAAATAAATAAGCTGATTATAAGTGTTACAGTATTAAGCTCAATAACATTTAACTAAATAACACGTTATCAAACGTTAAAAGATAACCTCACATGATAAACGTCTTACTCTCAACATTTTAATTCTTTGCTTCTTACTAAATGTTTTAATTTATTTTAAATATTTCCACAAATACAGGTTTCTTATAATGGTCTAGCTTCAATTGACTCATGAATTCAACTGTAAAACTAATAAAACCTCCACAAAACCCCATCTGATAATAATCATACGCTCACTAGTGATTGGCTTCAAGAGGTATTTCCTGGAGTTCTAGTAAGGAGCAGTCACCAGTGGAGTTCAACTGGATCTGTTGTGAGGTAGTAACTCAGTAAAAACAATGGCGGACGGTGACTTAATTTCGTGGATTGGTTGAAGTTAGATAATAACACCGTTGGATTCCGGATCAGTGGTCCAGAGGTTAAGCGTTCGTGCTCAAGACTGATCGATCCAGGGTTCAAATCTCGCGAGGCGGTTCATGAGTGCGCACTACTAGAGAGCCCCATGCTGGGACGAAACGTCCGTCCAGTGTTTTCAGGGTTTAGCTTCAATTGACTCATGAATTCAACTATTCAATTACTAAAATCTCCACAAAACCCTATTCTGAAAATACAGATTTGTTAAATTGCATATGAATAATAAAAAAAATTCCTATAATCCTATAAAGTGGCCAATATGATAAAAAGACATAAATACAAAGAAATAAAATGTTACACAATATAAATAAATCTTTACAAAAGGTTGAAAACATACTAAATGTCTACAATATTCCGAATATTTGACCTAGTGATTAATTTTTTCCCGTTCTCCCTCTCTCACACACTCTCAATGTTTTCTCCCCTTCAAATACAATATGTAAACAAATATGTTTATATACATTATAAAATAAAAGCGTAGATATATAGATATATATGTGAGTAGTTATCATTGATTAACTATATTTATTTGTTTATAACCCATTTTATCAGTTAATGTATTATAAACATTATATGAACAGATTGAATAAATTCAACAACCAAAAAAATCACCTAGAGATAATATATTTATAAAAGTAAACAAATGTTTATATTGTTTATATATAGACTAAATATTGACACATTAATAAATAGAATATTTGATTCAAATCTATGATTCAATAGACAACATATTGTGTGATATTGAAAAAGAATTATGGAAAAGTAATAATAATAATAATAATAACTGAAAATGTCTAAATTAAACCATAGTCTTCTAAGAATACAACATTTCATGAATGACTTATAAAGGTTGTGCAATATATATTTATCTTTAGAAAAACATAATCTATATCAGTAAATCAACGGGAGTTATTTTGATTAAATGAACGCATTTGTTTATAATAATTAAACTAATAAGGTGGAATAATGTTGAAGAGTTAGCTGTACTACATAAACACGAATTATAACATAAATATGAAAGATTAAAAAAAAGATTTCAGCCTGGTGATTTGAATAACAAATGTTAAGCATGTGACTGAAGATAATATAGAGGTGATCCATACAAGATGTACATATGCCAATTAAAAAAACTGATCAATTACAATCCTAAACACCAATAAGATCTAAGCAACCAAAACAAAAATGAATAAACAAACGATAAGTTCTTTTTTTCTCAATGATATAGAAGATGCTTTTGGTGTTGTTTTTGATTTCTCTGATTAAAAAACGTCGCATGATCAAAAGTCAATCTAAAAACACCATTAACAAAGTTATAAAAACAACTGAAGACGGTAAAATCTAAAGTTAATGTCAATCACAAACAAGTGCATCAGGACAGACTAATATACCTGTTATGGAACAGTTAGAAAGCTCACTTCTGTATGAAGTGAGCTTCAATAATATTCACTGTTTTGAACAACAGTGAAAGATAACTTAAATAAATCAGCAACATAAAATGACAAGTTTTATTGGAAGAAAAGATTTACCATCCTTTTACATTATTATTAGTAAAGTATCAGATCATATTTTTAATGAATAAACCATTGTTTTCATTAAGTCAGTTTCTAATATCCACCGTTAAAATCTACACTATTCTTTTCATTATCTTTACAATAACAATTAGTCTATTAATACTATCGGTGTCAAACTATTCAAGCATTCACATATGTTTGATATATTTAAATATTCACAAGAATATTTCACTACTATATTGTTATTATCTATAATTAATTTATAATTATGAGAATGAGACCAGTAAAAGAACTAACAACATATTTGATATATATTTAAGCTGTATTCTATAAGAAGCCATTTTTGTTTACTTATTACACTAATGTTTACACTGATGTCATCAAAATACGCTACAAAATTATAATCATAGAGTCTATTGATGACATTATTGAAATTAGTTCAAATTCATAAACCAAATCAAAGTTTGTAGGTATTATTACCAAGGTTTGACTTGATATTGTGCAGTAAATTGAGCATTGGATAGATTGTCATAAATAAATAAATAAACAAATAAATAAATAAATAAATTGAAGCTAGACCACCATAAAAAACCTGGAAGGACTGGATAGCCGTTTCGTCCTTGTACGGTTGAAGTTAGACATTAACACCATTGGATGCCGTCTTAGTAGTCTAGTTGGTTAAGCGCCTGGCGCGAGACTGATAGGTCCTGGCTTCGAATCTCGCGAGGTGCGGGATCGTGGATGCAAACTGCTGAGGACGAAACGGCCGTCCAGTGCTTCCAGGTTTTCTATGGTGGTCTAGCTTCAATTGACTCATGATTTCAATCTGTGAAATGTCTAAAATCTCCACAAACCCCTTCTGATAAAAATAAATAAATAAATAATATATTTCATAGTATCTCAATGAGTAGAAAAATTAGATTTTCTAATGTTTCGTGACAAAGTTTATTCATAAATGTTTATGTATTTATAAATGATAATAATGAGAACATATATGATCACTTATGAAAACATTAGAAATATTATTTGCTAGGAAATCAAGTGAGATATAATTTCATTTCATGATCACTTCATTGATATAGCTAATGTTCAATAGAAAATCTAATGCTTTCTGCAGCTTGTACAATTTATATGTGGCTTCTTTTTATTATGAAGCTAAATAAGTAAGTTGAATGGCGAATGCTGGTGAGCGGCCTTTGTTCCTTCACGAGGAGTAACAGGCGTAAGTAACTAAGTAAATGTAACATGAACTTGATTCATGATAGTAAGAACAGTCAAGTGTAGATCGCTGGTATACTTTTGGAGAATAAAATCTATGATAAACTAAAGGAGATATCTACTCAAAAAAATTAGAAATTAGTCATTGTTTGAAAATGTCACTAGACCTTTATGACCATGTAAATAACAAGCTCAATAGTATAAAGACTCATTATAGTTCATTTATGAGTTGCTTCATTAAAATAATTTTCAAATTATATGCCTATTTTCAAATAACTTGACATGATCGATATATCACAAAATAAATCGATTTACGAATTCTATTTTCATAAATATTCACATTTCCAAAAGTCATGAAATACAACCAAGTAGGACTTATTTCAAACTGGCTACAAAGATTCTGAAATGTTTAGGATATTAATGATGCGTTAAATCTCTCGTATTTCTAATTTGAATAAATATGGATCTCCAACTACTTGTTACGCGTTCAACAGTACATTATATTGTAGTTATGCAAAAAACATGTTAATAAAAGTTTACATGATGAAACTCACCAGTCACCAAAAAGGTGTTAGTTACGGAAAAAAACTTTATGAATCCACGTCGAATAAAACATAAGCTAATAAATGTATCAGTCAAGTCAATGTTTTCTTATTAACTGACGGTTGTTTGAGTTTCATAAATTACTCATTTATGTGTAATTTTATATGGAATCCAATACAACTAGACTGTTTGATACTTAAATGTTACATAGTTTGTGCATTAGTGTTAAATTAAGGAATATATACTTTAGATATCAGTTTTTTATATGCTCAACATTATTTTGTTTCAATGTGGGATTAGGTTTTTTATCATCTCAGCTGCATATGTACATTGAAAATTACAATGATGTTGAATTTTTGTAAAGATTTGAGGAACGATCGGAATTTATAACGATGTTAATGTACACTTCAATTGTTTTCAAAATAGAATTGTTTTTATACTATCGATAAAGTTAACAAGCGCTTGTTTACGATATTTGGATTATTATTTACTTTAATAATCAAACTGTACAAATAAAATGATTGGTTTACATAAATTCTATGACCTTTATTCTAAATGAACCAATCAGAAAGAAGCTATGATATTTCCACTTTAAATGCACATAAAAGTTTCCAATCCTTAGAAAATGCTTTATGCACACGCTTTCAAGATTTCACTAAATTTTAAAAACAACAATATCTGTTTAATTACAATTATTCAATGTCAATGTACATTTTAGTTTACAGTTGTGTTTAGCTTTTTTTGTGTTCATTATCAATAAAAATTAGGTATTCACTCCATCGAATACTTTTTCATATCAGTATCAAATGTTATTTTTTAAAAAAATCGTCTGAAAAATTTACAAGGTAAACAACATTGATTAAAAAATAGTATGTGGATCGCTACCAATATTTGTTTTAGCAAAATGTTGTCAAATATAAATGGTTTTGAATTATTCTTAATTATTGCTAATACTTAAGCATAACTTCAGCTGATTATATTCAAATAGGATGAGTGAAGATCAAGCTGAATAAATAGAATTCCAAGACTAAAAGAAAATACTTATCAGATAAATGGATTTTTTTTCCGAAACAATGTCTATCTGAAATACCATTTAAATAAAATAGACCTGTATTTATTCTAGTCGACAATGATATCTGTGGTGTTGATTTCTTTCAGTGGTTTGCCCTGTTAGACGAAACTTATCATGGTATTGATTTGGTTTTTGTAAATTTTGTACTTATACTTGCTTACAAGCTTGGTTACACCTGTTACTCCTCGTGGAGTAGCATAAGTCATTCTTAATATCTGTAGCTCTAATTAAAGTTCAATAATGTGTAGTTGTAAATTAAATGTTATCGGAACTTCATATGACCGGTTGGGATATTCAAATGAAAAATATTAGTTTGAAAGTTTCCATTATAAAAGGCAAAATGGAGAAATTAAAACAAGTGGGTTCATTACGTTAATGAATCATGATTTATCTTCGCTCACATCTGCAGTACTTCTGGTTATCACTATGTAATAAGCACTTGATTAATTAATCATTAAACAAGTTTTAACTGGTATAGCAGCAACTGTGTTTGTGTCCGACAGGCGTAAAATATGATGTCAAATGATACTTTAGTGTGAAGTTTTAATTAGTATAACACTCTTTTATATAACATCTCTTTGTTATTATCTCGGTATTATGTTTCTTATATTTAATACAGTGTGGCCTTTTTTGTGGAATGATTAATAGAAGTAAATCTATGTATAAATGAGTTTATTTCGTTAGTACTAAATGAAAAGATATTTTAATAATGGATAGATAGTGAGACAAATATTGATATGTCAACAGTGTTTACCAACGCATAATAAGTTTCAGTTGTAATTATATCACAGTTCAGCTCATGTTGGCTAAAATTATAGATCCTGTTCTTAAGTTTCATTTTAAATTGAAGCAGTTCAAATACTATATGATGAGAATGAAAAAGATATTTTTGTTTTGTTTTCGATAGCGAACTGATGAAGAAAGTTCATTGTTCCAATTAAACATGAATGAAACTAGTTGATTTGAAAAACAATGTTTTAATCATCTCAATTAACAGAACGATTACTGTATAATCCTCATTTTTAATTTGTTCCAGGTTAATCAGTGTAAGGTTGATTTCCTTTTTTAAGAAAATCTATCAACTTGTAAATGACAACTTAATGTTCATCAGTTAATCAGATATTTGTATTGATTGGACTTTACTATATAACTTAATGACCATTGTTCATTATTATTATCATGGAGATGCTTTTTCGGTAGAATAAAGAGGTTATGTTTCATTTGTTTCATCATTTGAACTGTGACTTAAATTATGATGCATAGTTTCAAATCATAACATCTTTAATCTATTTCTATAGTAATTAAATAACGTAAATGTGAAGAAATTGAGCTATCCGTTTTTTTTTAAATTTTGAGTACTGCATTACTGGAAGTGACTTTCTTTCGGCATATATGAATTCCAATAAGAGTTGATCTATTTTATTTTGAAAAATCTTGACGAAACAGATCTTTAAATTAGCTCGAAAATTTTAAAATAATTTCGAATCGTCTTTGTTTTTTCACTACTAAAGATCTTGGAAAAAATAAATTTCTTATTAATTAAATTATTGTTTATATTCTGTCGATTACAGTTTAGTGGCCAGGGATCTAACTCCAATTTAATCGTATGAATAATTGTTATTGAATGATTGCTGTCGAAATGTATATATCGCCTATCCTCGTATATAACCATCGACTTAAATCGCGTTAGTCAATAACGGAATTAAATAAGTCAAATAATGAGAATGGACTTTTGAATACATATATTTTGTATATGAAGTGAATGGAATAGAGAGAAGAGAAACGACGCTTAGTGGATATGTCGAATAAGCCAACTCCATTTAGTCAAGAGTTAATCAATATTTATAGTCACGCAAACATAAGTTACAGACGTGTGATGAATAGGATAAGAAATATACACTCATATATGCGCTCACATAAAAACAGTCAACATTGATAAGCGGATAATTAACAAGGTCAAAATGTGACTCAAGTAAAATGAATAGAATGGGCTGTCCTAAAGCTAGAATAAGGTATATAGGTTAACATAATAACCAACACTACAACAGATTGTCTGAAAAACTAAGCGAATAATCTTGAATTACACGAATAAATATGGAATATTTTACATTACGTCAATTAAATGAATCAACGAAGAAAAAAAGGAAACAATCACTTTAAAGTCCTTAATTAAAACCATGGTGAATTTGATTTCCTCTGGTGTTTAATATGTACACTTATAAAAATGTGTAACTTATTAAGTGATACTTAACATCAGGTTATCCAGTTAATATTAAGTGGTTCATGGAGAAAAAAAACTGTTGAAGTCTAAAAGTTTTCAGAATGATTACATAAGCTTGCATGTTATATTACGTGGATTGACGCAATCTATAGGATTAATCGTGTTTAGAAATAAATATCTTACTGAAGGTTTGTAATAAATATATTATGAGGAAGGAAATTTTCTAGTGAGTTAAATTTATTCTACTTGTTTTTATCTGATTTCATTTTCAGATGGTAAAAAAACACCTTGTTTTTATAACTATTACAACACTGAAAAGCAGTTATTTCTCACGTTTGTCATTTAGGCCTGGATATAGTTCGAAAATATTTGTCTGTTTAACGTACGGATTAATTCTATCATTAATAAATGAAGTTAGTAATATGCATAAACTATTAGTGGCCCTAGAATAGGTGACTTCAATTTGATTGTGTGATTATTGTGATCGACTCATATATATCGTCAATCAACGTATATGATCATCGATTTAAATCGCGTTAGTGAATAATGGGATTAAATAAGTCAAATATGTGAATGGATTTTGAATAAGTATATTTCACACAATTGTTGATCTGAACAGACAATCAGGGAGACGAAGCAGAGGAAGCGAAGAGGAGGGAAAGAACCGTAACCAAATGATTCTCAGTGGAGAAGGCGAGTGAACCAATTCGATTTAACCAACCGTGAACCGATATTTATAGTCAAACACAAATAAGTTACAGAAATGTGATTAGTAAGATAAGAAATGCGCACATATACGCTTACATAAAAACAGTCAATGATTATAGGCAAATAAGTGACAAGATGAAGTTGTGGCTTGAAAAGAATGAATGGATTGGTCTATCCAGAGGCTTCGGTTTGAGCACCCAGACAGTATCTCAGTCCTCAAATAAATCTAATGATTTATGTGGCGCATATCTGTTTGGTGCCTCCTTGTACCAATGTTTATGAGTTTAAATAAATAAATAAATAATCTATGTAGCCCCAAACAACTACCAAATTGATTTTAATGACAAATATCTCATTCGTACGATAAGTGTTTAGTAATGTTGAGTACATTTGGAAACAGAAGTAGTAATTTTAGATTAAAAAAACACTTTTTTACTTTTTTTTAATAAGGCTTATTACCAATAGAGTTCTATGATAATTGGTAATATTTCGTGGTATATAATAATATGTTCGTGATGTAATAAGTTGTGTGGTAAAAATTAGTTATGAAGTTACTGTTGTTTTTGTCCAAATTAAACTAAAAAAGGTATGAATTCACTTAGTGTTGTTTTACTCGTATCTTCCCATTGAATATTTCAATATGTCGCCCCCAAATGCTCTGGTACGGCCGAGAGTGGGGAGAGTCCGCTCTCCCTCTCGAAATGCTCTCACATGGCCACGCGTATATAGCCTCTCCCAGGGAAGTCCTAATCACTGCCTTCTCGTGGCAGGGGTGTTGTTTACGAAAGTGAGAGGACGAAAAGCGAATGTCTGGCGCTTTAACCGGATTCCAAACCAATGGTGCACAGTATCCAGTATCCTGAGGGAACAAATGGCGTACGAACCAACTGTTGGTCACCGGCTTCCATGGGACTGCATCACCTTACGATGCTCCACTGCCTTGTGGATCAAACCCTTAGGTCAAAGCCTCGGGGAGTGGCCCTCTAAGAAAACCACCTGCTTCGGTTTGGGCACCAGGACAGTATCACAGCCCTCACACATATCGAATGAGATTTGTGTAGCGCATATGTATTTGGTGCCTCCTTGTACCAATATCTATGTGTTAAAATAAATAAATAAAATAATTTCAATATGTCAGAAAATCAATACTGCAAAACATAAAGTAAGTATCACTCGTTAATTAAAGTATGGTAAGCTTAAGAAACTTTGATGCAAAATTTAGAAAACTAAAGTCAAATCATTCGTTAATATATAGAATAATAATTGTACACTTTCATCTGTAAATAAAAACCCAAAATATTCTACATAGATTTATCTGAATCTATGTTTGAGTTGAAACATATAACAGTAAAACTAAGCAAAAATGTGAATTCATCTAAAAAGCAAATAACAGATTATGGTTAGTTCAGTTTTTTTAGGGAATCAGTGGACTGAAATTTATACAGAATACTTATTTTATATAATAGTAATGTTCACGTACAAGATAATAAGTTAGGTAAAGACGTTAAAGCTAACCATATGAATATATATATATAGATGATTATATATACCAGATGGACGGTGGTTAGCAATGGAATACAGGCCGCTCGTCATATCCTATTTAGGGCTCATTAGCTGAAAGTGATAGGATTCCAGATTTGGTACTGAAATTCAGTACCATATCATAAACTGCAGTCGTATACATCAGTGGGAAGATTCAAACAACAGATGTACATTAATGAAATACAAAATATTTTTGACGAATGAATTCAGCATATCTGTATTCTTTCATGTAGATACGTTATTTATATTCTACTATTGTTGGAATTGATTATGAGGACAGAAACGGGTGAATATGATTCCGGCTTTATGAAAGAGTTAGTAAAATAATAATCATCATATAAAATCCTTAAACATAAATGTTTTAAATCGTATGTAATACAAGTAGATGAAATATATTTAATTATTGTTTCAGAAAGCTTCAAATTTATGAATAGTTATACTACATTTCTATTAAGAATGAGTTTTATTTCAGACTAGTGATAATGCAATAAATTTTTAATTGTGCAAACTGAGAAATCGTTGAAGTAGTTAGAAAAAGATTGTTATCTTATCGATTTATGACTTGATCAATTTAAGCTAATTCTATTATGAATCGTAATGTAGCGTTATATAACAAAATAACTTGGTCTAATCGCGAGTTATTCGTAATCGTCTAGTTATTATTAATAATAATAATAATTTTTGAATTTAACCACTAGAAATCATGGGAAGTATCATCGATGAACAAGGAGAATCTGATGCAGACGTAAAGGCGAGGATCGGTAAAGCAAGGGCCACATTCCTACAATTGAAGAAGATATGCAAATCAAAACAACTGTCAAACAATATCAAAATCACAATCTTCAATACGAATGTGAAGTTAGTTCTACTGTACGGAACGGAAACTTGGAGAACTACCACAATTATCGTCAAAAATGAACACGGACTAATAGGCAATTTTCTACACAAGATACTGAGTGCGCATTGACCGGAAACCATCAGCGACAGACTACTGTAGAAGAGAACAAACCAACTTCCGACTAAGGAGGAAATCAAGAAATGACACTGGATGTGGATCGGACATACATTATGAAAATCCTCAACCTGCATCACGAAGCAAACACTACCTTGAAGTCCTGAAGGAAAACGGAAAACAGGGCTACTAAAGAACACAATGAGTTGAGAATTGAAAGCACACATCAAAAGGATAAATAGCAACTGGAAAGGATTTTACAGGGCAGGTTTGGATGAAGAGTACTAATAGGCGGCCTATACTTCTTGATGAGGAGTAACAAACGTAAATAAGTAAGTAATCAAGACCAAAGTCAGTGTGAATAGATTTCAGTCATATTTTTAAAAATTCGAATTCATTTGGTACTTAGAACTAAGTACAGTGTAGCATTGCAGTCTGTATAATGTCTACCTGATAACCCTAAAATATTTTGCTTGCCCAGGACAGGGTTGGATGTAGAGTGCTGATTGACAGCTTGTGCTTCTCCATGAGGGGTAACAGGTATAAATAATTAAGGCAAGAAATCAACTGAAAATAATTTCTAAATTAGAGGACTTATTCATAATGACAAGCTGTTAGACAAGACGTTTAGTTCATTTGAATATTTGTTTGGTTGTGTTACATTCCATAATCTGATATTACATTAACAGTAAATTCTTTAATAAACCATTTACCTCGAACAAAATATCATTAAGAGATAGGTAAAAAATGAAAATATGTATACAGGATTTCCAAATAAATTTCACACCTTTTAAACTCAAATAATGCAGC